AATCCATACTTCATTCTTAGTTAAAATAAACTTCACATGAACACAACTTGTTATCAACTAACTCATCCATAAGATCTTAGATTAACATTTGAAGAAATGCTGGAAACCAAGGTAAAGGAAGAAGACTAAGAGGGAGAAAAGGAAGACAAGTGAAAGAAGAAACAGACTAAGAAAAAGAAGGAGGAGGAGAAGAAGAAAACAACCGACGAAGAAGAGAGAAGGAAGAAATACTCACATAGATGATTCCGGTCAGTCCAAGTGTCGGTCCTTGAGCACGAATAGCGACGGGAGTAGAGGCTCAGATATAGGCCGATTGTGAGCAGGGGAGTCGGGGACGTTGGCTGCCGTCGGGTTCAGACCTGGCGCGCGGACGAGCTTCGGGCGTGCGAAGCTAAGAGCGAGGGGGAAGCTCGGCAGCTACTAGGTCTCCGTGAACGAGGGAGACGCGAGAGCGGCGTCGGTCAAGGCTCACGAACGGAGTGAGGCCGAGAGGGAGATCTGCTCGGCTCTTCTGGACTTGTGCGAAATCCAAAGAGAGAGGGAGCGGGGGTCGAGAGGGAGTTGGGCGAGTGGCTACCGTCGGGATCGGTCTCCCCTAGCTCACGCGAGGGAGGGAGAGGGCGACCGGAGCTGGTTTCATCTAGGGCTTCCTCCAGCCAGCCCCCCGTGAGACTCAGAGAGCGAGAGAGAGCGAATCGGGTCTCACGCCACTGAATACTGCGCAACGGTCGACTTTTGATTTGGAAAAATCTGAGCCGTTGAATTTGATTACCGGATTTAGAAATTGATTCAAATGAAAGCAAAAGTCAATTGGAATTTATTCAAAATTAATTTGGGCTAATTTGAATTAGGTTTGGATGTGGATTTGACTCAAATTGACTTGATTAAATAGGATCGAGTCTAATTAAAATCAATCTGGATCGATTCGAGTTTGAATTGGGCTCGACGAAGTCTAATTAAGCCGATCGATGTTGCTCGTGATTGCTTGAGCGAAAATCGAGGTCAACAAGTGCGTCTAGAGGAACTAAAATGCTCGGGGATGTTAGCCACTGAACGGGCAGTTGGAGAAGTAACCGTCCAGTTTTGAATGCGTATGCGATTTAGAGAACGACATGTGCTTGGAGTGAAACGCCTGGCTGTGCGTTGGTGATTATGTCGAAAGTGAAACGCCCTGGCTGCGGTAGCTTTCGAGATGTTGCGGCGGGGATGAATTCGATCGGCCGCAGAATGAAAGGGTTTATGTGTCTGTGCGAAACTCTGGTAATGTGAAACGCATGGCTGTGGTAATTTAGTAAATGTTAGAATAAGTATTATATACTAATTGGAAGTGACGTTTTGAATTTACTTGATATTTGATTTAGCTTTAATTTTTAGGCCTGAGCAACTTTTAATGTTTTGTTTTTTAACTGCATGCGAATTAATATTTTATACGAATTGGCAGTGACGTTTTGAATTTACTTGATATTTGTTTTTGAGGTGATGTGAACTGGCTTTAAAAGCACGACAGTGAATAAATGTTTTGGAGAAAGTGAAAAATAAAAGAATTTGAAGAGTTATAAATGAACGCTGTAGATTAATTTAAACTTTAGAAATAAAAGGCCAAGATTTGCTATGGGTGAAGTCCCAAGCCACTTTTATATAGTAGTATAGATGTATTCACCATTGAACAATTCACATTCATCTATTGGTATAGAGAAGGGTATAATTATTTACGGGGACCTAATCAAATTTTTATCAGTTCCTTGGCCACTATATATTTTTATGTAGTTTGAATCTTGTTATACCACAATACTCAAGAAAATCATTAGATTTTATGGTCGTCTCTCCTAGCATCTCTAATTCAAATTTAGCTAATGCACAATCTCCATTTAAGAAAAATAATGTAGAATCAATTCCTTTGTTGCCTAAAGCTCTCTTGAAGGTTATCCATAATGTTAATTAGAACCATCATAGGTTGATGAGCTACTCAAAATTTACATCTTTAAAACATCATGATAGATATGATCCCAAGTGCAAGACATACTAGTACTATAGCTAAGATTTTTCTTATTGTGCATTGTTTCTATGATGTATCTTGTATTTCCAATATTTTTTGTCACTTCAACACAATTTGGATGAATGCTATAAATATACATGATTATTATTATTTTATTTGAAATAAAATATATATAGTGTAAAGCTCAATGATGATTATAATGGTCAGCAGTAAGTGAGGGTAGTCATGGCCCCAAACCCTAAATGAAATTTGATGCGGAGCATCTTAACTAAAGATTATCTTAGGAATAGTATATCATTTGTTGCATGTTTTCTAGAACTTTCGAGTAATTTTTATTGTGAGGAAGAGATAAGATATATGAAATATATTTTTAAATGATCAATTACCTACATCAAAATTTATTTTATTTGGCTACAAAATAAGGCCTAGAAATTTCTATTACGCGATCGTCAAACATCTCCCTCTCTCTCTTTAATTGGCTATAGATTCATGCAACTAATGAGTTGTACTAGAAATACCAGCTTTCCTGCAATCCTTCAGATTTCTTTTTACTCACGATTATGGTGATGGTCTCGGGCGAAGCTGAACGTACACAACCCCCAACAAATTATGAAAGGTCCCTTCATATTGTTATTCATCAAGGAAAGAATACAATTTAGATGAAATGAAGAATAGAAATTTTGGTGTTGTATATAGGGGTGTCAACTTTTGACCCGACCCGAAAATTCGATCCGGATCCGACCCGAAAAATTCGGGTTGGACCCGACCCGTTTATCCCACCCGTTTGATAAACGGGTCGGGTTCGGGTTCACAGATTTGACCTGTTTAATAAACGGGTCGGGTTCGGGTTGACCCGGCGGGTTGACGGGTCAACCCGGCAACCCGTTTATTTTAAAAATTTTGAATTTCCAAGCTGCACCGCGTGCCGAATCGCTGCCCGCCTGCCGCGTGCCGAACCGCCGAACCCTGGGACGCGCGTCTCCTCTGCCGCGCAAACCCTCGCAGCCTCGTCGCGTACCGCGCGAACCCTCGCGGCCTCGTCGGGTGCGGCGAACCCTCGCGTGCAGCCGAATTCAACTTTGTTGGAACTAATAATACTTCATCATGATGATGTTGATCAAATTCAAATGAACATATAGAAAAGCCTCTCCTACTTCACTTCCAACCATTCATTACTAGTAATCCTCTGTCAAATATCGAGGCAAAGTACAAACGAGTAATATGTTTAAATTAGAGGCCTACCCTATATCTTTAAAATATCATCATATTAGAAGCCCTACCTCTTTAAAATATCATCATATTGAGAAATTATTAGGTACGGAGTGCAGACGGGGTGAGAACCGTCTGCACAGACACAGAGTACCGAGCGGTACTCAGCGGTACCGAGTGGCACCGAACGGTACCGAACACTGTTTTATACTAGTGTGCAGACGGTTCTCCCGTCCGCACTCCGTACCTAATAATTTCTCCATCATATTAGAAGCCCTACCTCTTTAAAATATCATGATAGATATAATCCCGAGTGCAAGACATACTATAGCTGAGATTTTTTTTTTTTTTTTTTTTTTTCTTATTGTGCATTGGTTCTATGATATCTTGTATTTCTTATCATTTTTGTTTCTTTAACACAATTTGGAAGAATGATATAAATATATGTGATTATTATTATTTTATTTGAAATAAAATATATGTAGTATAAAGTTCAATGATGATTATAATGATCATCAGTAAATAAGGGTGATCATGGCTGCAAATCCTAAATGAATTTTGATGCGGAGTACTTTAACTGAAGATTGTCTTAGGAATAGTATATCACTTGTTGCATGTTTTCTAAAATGTTCGAGTAATTTTTATTGTGTGGAAGAGATGAGATATATGAAATATATTTTTGAAATGATTATTACCTGCATCAAAATTTATTTTATTTGACTAGAAACAAAATCATAAATACAAAACTAATTATTAAAGTCTAACCTTTTTCTCTCTCTTTCTCTGTTGGCTATAGATTCATGCAACTAATGAGTTGTACCAGAAAGATCAGCTGTCCTGCAATCCTTCAGATTTCTTTTTACTCACGATTATGGTGATGGTCTCGGGCGAAGCTGAACGTACACAACCCCCAACAAATTATGAAAGGTCCCTTCATATTGTTATTCGTCAAGGAAAGAATACAATTCAGATGAAATGAAGTACAGAAATTTTGGTGCTGTATACATATGAAATAAATTCATTTATGATGTCAGAATTCGGTGATCTTGGACTCATTGGATTTATCTCGTTGAGCCGCTCAATTCGACTATAAGTCTGTCATGATTGGAAATTGTTTTGTCATCCAATTTATGATTTGAACCTTGTAAATGTTAGGTCTTTTATTTGGATCCATTTGGGCTCAAATTCGGACAAATTTGATGTCTTTAGGTTTTGTCTTTTTGAGACGTTCTGTTGGACAATAAGTTCACAAAAATCAAAGCTAAGATAGTACCGAATTTAATTTTAAAAATTTTTGTGCACCTACCATTATTTTCAAAATGATATAGTTGCATGAGTTTTCTTTCTTTGATTTTTTTCTCTTGCATATAATTTTTCGCCTTTCAAAAAATAACCCAATCATTATTTAAATCACACACTTAATACTCTAACTAACAATCAAAATTAATAAATTTAAACACAAAACCAAGCCGTTAATCACATCAATAAACAAATTAAATTATGGTAGCATTGCTAATCATACACCTACCATTTTTTTCTCCCATTTTAAAGAAATATAATAGACTTTGAAAAATCTCACCACTATCGCCATCACACTCCTTTATTTTGAAACCTAAAAGCCAAAATATGACAGAAATCAAAAGCTTAAAAGCTTAACGTGGCCTCCCACTTAATTGTTAGGCATGGCGTCTTTCTTAAGCCACTCTAATTATCAATTTAACAGTGTGGAACTATCAATCCTTCTTCCCTAATCACTCTTCCTCCCTTCACCTCCTTTATATAGGGCTCCCCTCTTCTTTCTCTTTCCACAACTTCAGACATACCTTCTCTCTCCCTCTCTCTCTGAATTAAGGTAAGAAATGGCAAAGCTTATTTTTGCAACACTGGGTGCAATTTTCTTCATGTGTTTGGCTAAGCTTGGCACAGCCACAGTGTACAATGTTGGCGATACATCCGGTTGGGATACTGGTGTAGATTATTCAAGCTGGGCAAGTGGGAAGACCTTCGCTGCTGGAGATAGTCTTGGTAACTCTTTTTTTAGTTGCAGCTCCTCTTGATCTTTACATGAGTTTAATCTTCCTTCTTCATGGCAGTCTTCGCCTACGGGTCTGGAGCGCACACAGTGAACGAAGTGTCGGCAAATGATTACCAGTCATGTTCCACAAGCAACTATCTCAGCACCGACTCCAGCGGCTCGACAACGATCACTCTCAAGACCGCCGGTACCCATTACTTCGTCTGCGGAGTCCCCGGCCATTGCATCGGCGGCATGAAGCTCGCCGTCACAGTCGGCGGCACCTCTTCTTCAACCGGTTCCTCCGCCACGCCTTCCACCCCCTCCACCACCACCACCGGCTACCACTATTCCGCCGCCATCAAAACACAGATTCCTGCGGCGGTGGCCGGATTGCTGATGATCATAATGGGTCGTCTTCTTTGAGATTGGTGAAGTCAGGGTGGAGACAGTGCTCGCGCTCTCATCATCGTGATCAGGAGTTAGTAGAAATTTGACGGCTTAGATCAGTTAGATGTTATCTCTTGATTTTCCTCTTCTTTTTTAGATAGATTGTTGGTGCATGATTTGTGTTGAAATTATATTAATTAGTGGATCTTTAATTTGTGTTAACAATTTAATTACCAGCTTTTTAGTCATGAGATGTCATAATTGAGTGCTTATTTAATTTGTCGGATCCAATAATGATTTCGTTTGGAACGGCTTTCTTACTGCTGCTTAGCAGCATTTTAGTATAAAGATTAAAAATTTTGTATTAAAAAGCTGTTTTAAGAAGCAGTAAGAAAGTCGACCCAAACAAAGCCAATGTCTCATTATTTCTTCTCTAATTATTTTAATTAGCAATTGGATTATGGAGGGAATATGTTCTAATAGCTGTTAGTTCCTTTGCTTTTCTCTTTTCTTTTTTAAAGGCATGTGGTTGCAGTACTGACTGTGGTGGGTAACAGAATCAGAATTAATTAGAAGATAATGAGCTATTTTTAATAAATAAATAAAAAGATTAATTAAGAAGAAAGTTAGTTAGTCGATCACCACTAAGTAGCTATTATTGATTTGTTTTAAGTGTTTGGTAATGTGTTCTTTTTGATTGATTTGCACTCTTTGTGTGACTCTATACGTGAGATGATTAAAAACGACCGTTGGATGTTTGTTAGGAAATAAGTAATTAAGTTAAGTTAATAAAAAAAAGCAGCTTAGGTATAAATTTGCTTCAGTTTAAAGCAATTTAACTCATTATGTAAACTTGTTCTTTTTTATTTTAACTTCCTATTTTTAAAATAAAATTCATTTTTTATTTGAACTTCTTGTGACAATATTGTATTATTTCTGTGTTTAATGCTGTTTTTATAATTCATACATTTATGCCATTTAAGTTTTAACATCAGATTTATAGTATAAACTATCATTTAATCATACATCATAATCTTCTTATATATATTATGTTGCATTAAATATGATTATTTTATTATCCTAACAAGTTATTTTGCTCTTCTTATATATATTATGTTGCATTAAATATGATTATTAAATATAAATAAAAACTATAATTTACAAATTAAAATAAAAAATAAAATAAAATACAAAACAGTTGCATTAACAAAGATGGACTTGATGAAGGCATGCTGCCCCATTAAGTTTCCCAACTGTTTCCGGGCTGGACTAGCTAGGATGAAACTTAAGCTAATATAGATCTTAGTATTGATGCCGGGAATTAGAATTAGTATCAATGGTATGTATCGAGCTTATAAGTAATGACATGCGAACAACAAAGTTAGTAATTATTGGCATTGGGGTTGACGGCGTGAATCAATTTTATAAGTGATGACATGCAGTGATGTTGATGATGTTGAGGGTCGTCAATGCTAGTGTTGATGGTATACATCGCCTTATAAAGTAATAACATACGTCGATATTGGTAGCAAATTAAAGCGACAAAATCTTCAAGAATCAAGACTAGCATCCATGGAGTGCATCATCTTTTTAGATAATGGTGTGTATCTACATTGGTAGCGACAATATGGGATGAAGTCGATAGGAATTGGTGTTTGTGCCGACTGTGTGAAGCATAGTTGCGGTTGAAGATGGGTGGCAAAGTTGATGACCATTTGATTTCTCCTCAAATGATTTTATTACATTTTCTCCAAAATTAATAAACTTCTACTACATAACTTTTTGCATATCAGAAACAGAATTTCCCCAAGATTGGTTAATAGATGGTATTCAGATAAAGATTCTATATCCTTTCTGTCTAAAACCTTGGAGAAAATCTAAGGCACAATCTCATCATAGAGATCTAATGAAAAAAAAAGAGAAAAAAACAAATTTTTGTTTTTTAACAGTCTGGGGAATGGAAGCGGAACTTCCCTTTGGTTCTCCCCGAAAACGACCTTTTTTTTTTGAACCTATTTATAAAGAACTCCAAAAAAGAAAAAAAAAGGTGAAAAATAAATTTTCAAAAGTTTTAAAATCTTTAAATAAAATAAATAAAAAAATAAAATCCTTTCTAAAAATTCTAAAAGAAAAAACAAAAGGGGTCGTTCAAATTATCAAACTAATAATGAAAAAACTGGAGAAAGTAAATCCAATTTTATTATTTAAATTAAGTAAAGAAAAAGTATATGAACCAAACGAAAACAAAAAAGATTTCAAAAGAAATAATAATATTCTTCGCGAATCGTCCGTAATAGAAAAAAGAATGAAAGACCTTTCTGATAAGACAATCAAAATAAGGAATCAAATTGAACAAATCGCAAAAGACAAGAAAAAAAAAGAAATAGTTCTAATTTCTGATAATAAAGGATCGGGATCACAGAAACATATTTTGAAAATATTAAAAAGGAAAAATATCCGATTAATGCGTAAATCACACTACTTTATCAAATCATTCATTGAAAAAATATACATAGATATTTTGCTATGTACCATTACCGTTTCTAAGATAAATGCACAACTTTTCTTTGAATCAACAAAAAAGATCTTTACTAAATCCATTTACAACAATGAAATAAATCAAGAACAAGAAGGAATTGATGAAACAAATAAAAATACAATGAATTTTCTTTTGACTATAAAAAAATTCAAATCGTTTTCAAATACTGATAATACTACGAATAGCAATCAAAATTCCAATACTTATTGGAACTTATCTTCCCTGTCCCAAGCATATGTTTTTTACAAAATATCACAAAACCAATTACTTAATAAGCATCAATTGAGACCTGTACTTAAATATCAAGGGAGCTATCCTTTTTTTAAGGATAATTTAAAAGACTATTGTATGATACATGGAATATTTAACTCACATAATAAAATTCATACGTATGTAATGAACAAATGGAAAAATTGGTTAAAAGGTCATTATCAATACGATTTATCTCAAAAAAAAAGGTCTCCATTAGTACCTAAAGAATGGCGAAATAGAATCAATAAACATCGTATGATTCAAAACAAGGAATCAAACCAATTGGATTTATATAAAAAATACCAATTTATTTATTCCATGAAAAAAGATGACTATGCAGCAAATTCATTTATGAGTCAAAAAGACAAATGGAAAAAACATTACAGATATGATCTTTTCTCATATAAATACATAAACCTTCCTAATTTATACATTTCTGGATCAACATTAGAAATAAACGGGGACCAAGAAATTCTATCTCATTTCAATATATCGAAACCTGAATCATTTTATGTATTGGTAAGTATACCTAGTAATAATTATCTAGAAAAAGGATATCTTATTGATAGGAATACAAATTTGGATAGAAAATATCTTGATTGTAGAATTCTTCATCTTTGTTTTCTAAATAATATTGAGATCTGGACCGATGTACATATTGGTATCAAGATTCAGAAAGATACTAAAAATGAAATTAAGAATTTCAAAAAAATGGAAAAAAAAGATCTTTTTTTTCCTACAATTCATCAAGAGATCAAACCATGCAATCAAAAAAGAAACTTTTTTGATTGCATGGGAATGAATAAAGAAAGGTTCTATGATACCGCATCAAATCATGATACTATATCCAATCTAGAAACTTGGTTCTTCCCAGAATTTGTGCTACTTTTTGATGTATATAAAATTAAACCTTGGATCATCCCAATCAAATCACTCTTTTTTCATTTTTCTATAAATGAAAAAAGTAAAAGCATTAACGTAAATCCAAAGAAATCATCTAATAAAAAAAAAGATCGTGAATTAGGAAATTCCAAGCAGGAAGAGAATGAACAACAGGTCCAAGGAAATCTTGTATGGAATCTACGAAAAATAAAAAAAGAAAATCAAAAAACTGTTGAAGAAGATTACGCAAGATTAGAAATGAAAAAGGTTCTAAAAAAGAAACAATATAAGAGCAAGAATGAAATGGAACTAGATTTCTTTTTTATATATATATATATATATATATATATATATATATATGCTATCTTGTTTTATAAGATTTATGCTTTGGTACTCGGTGGATGGTTGTTCCATACGGGCATAAAAGGTGGTTGTCTCTACTGAGGTTTCGTTTGGTTTCTGCCGACGTTTTTTTCATTCTTAAACGAATGTATTACGACGGAGAAGCTGAATTTTTTTTCTTCTCAAATCGGTAAAAATTCGGAGTTGTACCAAAAGGTGTTTTTAAAAAAATGGTGTAAACAAACATTAAAATATTAATTTTTCATCGATTGAAATCGTAAACGAAAAAATTTACGGACAACCAAACGAAGCTTGAGGATGCAAAGATTTGATGTTTCATTTTTATAGAAGTGGTAGTTTTCCCTGTTAGTTATTTCTCATATTAACCCTTTCCCTGAGCCAAATGAAATGAAAAAAAAAAAAAAGGAAATATAAGTGAAGCCCAAGCAACCGACTGTCTGCTTAAAAAGATTAGTCCAAAGATTAAATTATCACAAACCTTCTCCCAACTCCAAGAAAAAAATATAGCTATTAGTTTAATTCTCATTCCTATAAGGCACAATTACTTAACTTCTCATACTCATAAATTGAATTAGTCTCACCAAAAATCAAAACACCAATGGTCATGTTCTGTCAAGGCATAATATTTGTTTTTTTTTTTCACTTATTAGTGCCTATTTGGTTGCCAAAAAATAGTAAATATTTTAAACTAATATATTTTTGCGCTTGATTTATAAGTGAAGATAATTTTAATATGATATATATAGAACATAATATTAATATTAATTTTAATTGATTTCAATAAAAATGAATATAACAAGTTTGAGGTACTAAAATAAATATAAATCATTAAGAAAATTTGTGACAAGTTGATAGTTACTTATGAAGAAATTAGTGAGGTACTAATGTAAATAGATTATTAATTCATGAATATAAATTATTTCAAAAGAAATCCAATGATTCCATTTAAATTTGCCTAATGGATTTATAAAGTTTTAAGGACTTTGCATTAAAAAAAAAAAAGATAAGGACTTTGCATTCACATAGCATAATCTATATAAAAATTCAGATAATGTGTGAAGTATGTTTAACTGTTTGTCTAAAAAATAAGATTTAAAATTTATGGCCATTATTAGGGATAGGGATTTAGGCTTCCTTTGAATAGCTTTTTTACTGCTTTTTAAATCAACTTTCTAATTAAAAAAATATTATTTTTGGTACTAAAATGATACTTCGAGAAGAATAAGAAAGCTGTCACAACAAATTTTTCATGTTTTTTAAAGTAATTTTTTAGTACAAATTATTTATGAACTATTTATTTTTTTCACTAAATAAATTTTTTAGAAACCAGAAAAAAAGTATCCCAAATGAAATCATAACCTACTTATTCTCTTGATCAATTTCATGGCTTAGCAGGCTAACCTAATATAGCTGCAAGAGAAAATCTGAACTTCATAATCACTATGATATTTACATTGAGAAGAAACATCATAGGGTAACTTATATAAAAGTTTTAATGATAAATCTAAATATTTTTTTTTCAAGTGGGAGATAATTTATTTTTTTTTACATCTCACTCTTATGAGTGAATTTAATCATAAATTGATAAACATAAATGTACACAAAATCTTAAACTCATAGTAACATCATAGGAAGCCTACCCCTCCAATGAATGTGCTAAGATGAAAAATACAAAATAATAATGCAAATTAGAAATTATGCCCGATTGTCATCGGACTTCTGCCCGGCTACCGACTATTATCGGACTTCCGCCTGGTCTCCAACTGGACGAATTATTACGTCCAGCGTCCGAATCGTCCGGAGGTGAATCAAGACGTGCCACGTCACCCGGACTCACTCAGATGCACCGGAGTTCGGGTGACGTGGTGCGTCCGAATTCGCCTCCGAACGAATCCAAACACCGGACGTAATATTTTTTCCTCCAACTGATGCCGGATTTATGCCCATCTACTGACCATAGTCTACTTACATCCAATTCCTATTCATCATTAGATTTTAACCGGACTGTGGACTATTGTAAAACCAAAAATTATACGGAGTAGTATACAAATTTACCCTTCCTCAGTCTCACAATGTACTGTCGGTCGTAGCTGCACTTTCAGATCCTCGGTTGTACCGAATACCGACTGTAAAGCCCACTCTTTTTCTGGATCGCGTACCACGCATCACATATTTTGCTGTTCCTCTCTTTCCCTCGCTCTTCCCTCTCTCCATCTTTCATTTACACTTCCCTCGTCCACTCCGCTCTCCATCCAATGGAATCCACCGCCCTCTTCCGCCCTCTTCCCTTCCCCTCTTCCTTCCTCCTCCATCGTTCTGTCCCCATACGCCCTCCTTCCTCCGCTATCTTCCCCACAAATCGCTCATCCCTTAATCTCCTCCGCCGCCGCTGCCCTTCCCTTCCTCCCTGCCTTCTATTTAACCGTAACGCTCAACAAAAGCCGCTCCTTTCCCTAATACGCGCCTCTTCATCGCCTCCTCACCCACCATCTCCCCCGTCGCCGCGTCCTTCCGGGGCGAAGCCATTGCCGCTCGCTATCTCCGTCGCAATCGGACTCGCCATTCGCTTCCTCATCCCCAAGCCCGTCGAGGTCACTCCCCAGGCGTGGCAGCTCCTAGCAATCTTCTTCTCCACCATTGCTGGGCTTGTGCTCAGCCCCCTCCCCGTAGGCGCCTGGGCTTTCATCTGCCTCACAGTATCCGTCATCACGAGGACGGTCAGCTTCTCCGCTGCTTTCGGTGCATTCACGAACGAGGTGATCTGGCTGATTGTGATTTCTTTCTTTTTTGCTCGGGGGTTTGTGAAGACGGGGTTGGGGGATCGGATCGCTACCTATTTTGTGAAGTGGCTTGGGAGGAGCACGCTAGGGCTTTCTTACGGGCTTACAGTGAGCGAGGCGCTGATATCTCCGGCAATGCCTAGTACTACAGCGAGGGCGGGTGGAGTGTTTTTGCCGATTATCAAGTCTTTGTCTTTGTCTTCGGGGAGCAGGCCTGGTGAGAAGTCGTCCAAGAAATTGGGATCTTTTTTGGTCATGTCTCAGTTCCAGGTTCGAATTTCTTTGCATTATTTCCTTGCTTTGTACTTTCCTCAGTCGCAAAACAGGACTCTTTGAGAAGTCGAATAAAATTACTAGAAACGGTAGTGATGTGGATATTCTGAATAAATTTAGCTTGAGAACGGAGATTATGGTTCAGAGAATCAGCCTCAAGCATATGGAAAATATTAGCTTGATCTTCTCTATGTTTGAGAGAATTGTTTGAAGTATTGATGAACTATTCCAAACAGTATGTTTTAACCTATGTTCATCACTTTAAGCTTTCCCCAGAGGACAAAGATAGGATCGCCTAAAGCGCCCCAACATTTTGAATGACATCCTTGAAATCAATACAATTCACCCAATTGCTCTTGTAAAATTTTTTATTTTATTGATGGTTATTCTTTACAAAAAACAATGTGAATGACATCCTTGAAACCAATACAATTCACCCAATAGCTCTTGTAAAAATTTTATTTTATCGATGGTTATTCTTGACAAAAAACAATGTGAATGACATTGTGTGATTTCTGGTTATTTAAGACTATTTTTAAAGTATTTTAGTTGCAAAACTTTGGTTCTCGTGCAAATTACCTTTGTTGTTGTGCAAAGATTTACTTAAAATACCATGCAATACTTGTTAACATGAAGAACTGACAGAGACAGATTCACTCCAGATGGCTGTGAAAATGCTAATCGTGATTTGAGATTTAGATTTCTAAGCCCAATGCGAGTGGTATTTATTTGTAGGTATAATGGAAGATCACAAAGCATGCAGATATTTGAAACAATCAGTTTAAAGTAAGAATTTTGTAATATTTGTTGACAAAAATAAAAATGTAAAGGAGAAAAAGCTTTGGATCTTCTGTCTTGGGACGTTTGAATTGAAGTAAACTTGAAGCATTAATTCTTTTTTTTAGTTGCATGGAGAGAATTTAACGCTTGTACGACCTTCTTTTTCATTCTTTTGATGTCCATCAGTACATAAGTAAAATGCTTAATAACATTCATCTCTTTTTGGTGTATGACAGTCAGCTGGTAACTCAAGTGCTCTTTTCCTAACTGCTGCAGCTCAAAACCTGTTGTGCCTAAAGTTAGCTGAGGAACTTGGGGTTAAGATTGTTAGCCCATGGGTAACTTGGTTTAAAGCTGCAAGTTTGCCTGCCATTGCCGGTCTTATCATAACTCCGTATCTTCTTTATAAGATCTATCCCCCCGAAACTAAGGACACTCCAGGTGCATCTGCTTTGGCTGCTAAAAAGCTTGAGCAGATGGGACCTGTCACAAGAAATGAATGGGTTATGGTTGCAACGATGCTTCTTGCAGTTTCATTGTGGATTTTTGGGTGAGTGATTTGTTTCCAGTCTATTTCTCTTTTAATATTACTTAAATTTGAATTTTCTCTGTTTTTTTACGTTAGTAATCGAATTGCACACTCATTCTTTTCATTATACTACTGTTTTACAATAAAATTGCATTTATCTGTTGGAGGCTTGTGGAATCATAATGTTTTGAAGCTACTGTATTACAATATAATTACACTCGTTCTCATTTACGTTGTGCAAATTTTGTGTATTTTACCATCAGCAATTATTTTTGTATATTTAGTTGTTAATTTCATTTTTTAGTTCTGTGTTGGCTCAAAAGCAACGTTGGTTGTAATTGTTAAGTACTGCAACTGGCTTGCTTATGTTTTCTACATATCAAGAATTCAAGAATGTTCCTTCAAGTAGTATAAAAAGTTTCATAAAAGTTAACTGACCTGGTATGTGATGCATTAAACTTTTTTGGTTTTCTGTACTATTTTCCTTTATCGGGCAAAGTTTTCACTTGACCTTTCAGCGCCATTTGTAAGCGCATTACACATTTTTCTACTTCATCAGTTGTTCATGAAAACATGACTGCATTTAACAATTGTAATCAAATTGCTGCCGTGTTCTATCAACTGAATATTGATTATTTGGTTCTATATCTGCTGAACTCCGTTGAGTCATTCATTCACCGGCAATGTTGCACTGATACACCTATTTATGAAGGCGTGCTGTATCAGATATGCGTCTGATATGGCACCAATACGTGTCGGATACATAAAAGCCATATCCAATTAAAATATTATTTAGTTTCAAAAGGACATATGTATCAAATACGCGTGTCCTTTGAAAGATGAAAAAAAATCCGAAAAAAGACCATCAGATTTACTTCCGCAGCTCCGAGCGAGGTTCTCTCATTTTCGAACCAACGAGTCATTTAGATTGATGTTAGTTTACTATAAAATAGAATATTAGGACATCAAATTATTTTGCATTTGTAATGCTTTGATTTTTGTTTCACGCTTTAAAAAATCATATTATTGTGGTTTGTATGTGTTCTTAAATGGAAAAAAAAATTTAGCTCTCATATATTACTCAGTAAATATGCCACCAAATCATGTAACGACATAATTAATGGAATCATGCCACAAAATTCTTATTAGGCAATGATTTTTAACTCTTCCCTTGACTCAATGCTTACTTTTATTTTGATATTATAAGCTACAAGGCTACAAATGATGATATGTTGCTTTCATTTTTTTTTTTTTTCAAATATTATGCTTTATTTCTTATTTGCAACTATTTTCTTTTGTATTCAAGTTAAGCCATCCTCATTTTAAATGAATGCTTAAGAGTTTATTATCCGTAAACAGAGAGTCTCTTGGTGTGGCAAGTGTGGTTGCTGCAATGCTGGGATTATCAATCCTGCTTTTGGTGGGTGTCTTAGATTGGGATGATTGCTTAAGTGAACAATCTGCATGGGATACATTGGCTTGGTTTGCAGTATTAGTTGGCATGGCAGGTCAACTTACAAACCTCGGTATTGTGTCATGGATGTCAAACTGTGTGGCCAAGTCTCTACAGTGTTTCTCTTTGAGCTGGCCAGTAGCTTTTGGTGTTCTTCAAGGATCCTACTTCCTCATCCATTATCTGTTTGCAAGTCAGACAGGACATGTAGGAGCCCTTTATTCGGCATTTCTTGCCATGCATCTTGCAGCTGGAGTACCTGGTGTATTGGCAGCTCTAGCGTTGGCATACAATACAAATCTTTTTGGTGCACTAACGCATTATAGCAGTGGACAAGCTGCAGTTTATTATGGAGGTATGTCCTCTATCCTTGTAGTTTTGTTCACTGGAACTATGAACATGCAAATTGGTTCATTATTTATGCGCAAAAAAGGGTAAAATGTCTTGTTATTTATGTTTTTCAATAGATCTTGTTTTTTTTTTACATATTTTTCAGTAGAATGAGTGACTACTATGATTCAATTATTCAAATAGAGAAGCTTGAGAACTTTAAGGTCTGGACTCTGAAAAATGTTTTACAGGCTACATTTTCAAATTTAGGGGGCAGGTCAGTGTTGCGGAGTGTCTAGAAAAGCATTTTGTTTGGCTTGTGGTACGCAATTCAAGAATTTGTAGGGTTTTCTGAAGGATTAATTATTCTGTGCGAATGCCGAACGCCATCAGGAGATCAACCAGAATGCGCCACGTCACCCCTTGGCTCGGTACCACGGCTCGGTAATGTTCGGTAACACTCGGTACTGCGGCTCAGTACCCACTGATGTGATGCATTTTGGTTGGTCTCCGGACAACGTTCTGTGTTTGGTCTCCGCATAGAATAATTTCTTTCTGAAGAGCCTAGGAATTCAAGTCATCCTTGAGAGGCTTGAATAACAAAAACAATCTCTTTGGTAAAGCTGAGTACATCAATGCCTCCTGAGGTCATATATTAGCGGAAGCTTTTGATCTTATACCATCTATATTAACCGAGGTCTATCTGCACCAAGTTCAATGTTTTTTTTTTATTATTATTTATTGGACATCTACCACAAAACAAGCAAAACTATTACTTTTCCAAAATTTTCATGGTGTCTTGAAAATATAACAATTGATGGTTGACGTCGTGGCCTACCATTGGAGCAGGATTAATTATTCTATGCGGACACCGAATGTCATCTGGAGGCCAGCCAGAATGCGTCACGTCACCCTTGCGCTCGGCACCACGGCTCAGTACTACTCGGTACCGCTGATGTGCGTATTCTGATTAGTCTCCAAATTGCGTTCTGCGTCCGGTCTCCGCACATAATAATTTCTCTTGCAGCGGAGACTCGTGCTCAAACGCTCACCGATCACCAAAAAAATAATTTATAGAGATTCTTTGCATGATGTGCTAAATTAACTTTATTTAATTCAATATGTCAGAAACTAGTTTCATCACCAGACTGTTTATTGAAATGCATATATTCTGTCAGTAATTTTCTTTTAATCATGGATCTATTTCTTCAAGCACATTAATATAGCTGTATTAAGCTAAGGATGCTGTTGATAGAACTAATTTGTCCTTTTCTTTTGCCCTTTGGCAGCTGGTTATATAGATCTTCCAGACTTATTCAGGCTGGGCTTTTTGACAGCCTTGATTAACTGTTTGACCTGGGCAGTAGTTGGATGCTTCTGGTGGAAAATATTGGGCCTCTACTAAACCTTTTGTAGCCATTATGAAACATTTTTCTTCTTCATTGCGCTGTACTGTCCAATCAATCATTGAAGCAGCTCAGGATTGCATTTATGGCTTCATTTCACTGAGGCTGCTGCAGCTGCTGCTGGGTCTTCACGATCTGTCACCAAATATTTATGTTAAATTGTTCTTTCATCACAATAATTTGTATACCGCTTCCATCATTAGTGATAGTAGGAACTTCTCTTCCTGTTTCTCTGGCTTAATGTTCTATCTGTTTCTGTACCAGCACAGCTGCTTTTGTTTTTTTTTTTTTTCTTGGAAAATGGAGAACCAGGCACAAATTTGATGTAAGTTTAAGGCTTCGTTTAGGACAGTTTTTTTATTGCTTTTTAAAGCAATTGATAGTAGGAACTTCTCTTCCTGTTTCTCTGGCTTAATGTTCTATCTGTTTCTGTACCAGCACAGCTGCTTTTGTTTTTTTTTTTTTTTCTTGGAAAATGGAGAACCAGGCACAAATTTGATGTAAGTTTAAGGCTTCGTTTAGGACGGCTTTTTTATTGCTTCTTAAAGCAACTTTTTAATATAAAAATTAAAAATTTTTTACTAAAAAGTTGTTTCAAGAAGCAATAAGAAAGCAGTCCCAAACAAAACCTAAGGATCTTAACAACTTCAAAACTAGTTGTGAGCAACTGTTTGAGCTGCTAGTAACTTGTGAGGTTTTAGGATAAACTTATCAGGTGAGACTGCATCAAATGGCAATGTTTTGTGGAGGAATTAGAGCACGTCGAATGTCGTCAAGGGTGTAAACTAGTTGAGTTTGAGCTTTATTTTATGAGTTCGAGTTAGATGATGAAATAATTTGTTTATTATGAGAGTGAGAAAAAAGGTTATGATTTTAGTAATTATTATAATAAAATAGGAAATAGAATGAGAAATTATAAGAAAATAATAAAGTGTTAGTTAATATAAGATAGTGAGACAATTTTTAAATAGTTTTTTTAAATGATTTTGTATTTAAGATTTTGAATATTATTATATTTTAAGTATATTTTATATTAATATTTTTCAATGAGCTACGAGTAGAGTTGGGGGGATTTAAACTTGTCATGTTAGCTCATTAAATTTGGCTCACGAGCTATATATTGAGTTGAGCTCAAGCTAGCTCGCAATTCTACTTGACTCGCACCTATAAATGATAAATAGAGAATCAAGCTGAGAATTTGACCGGAATGTTAAGGCATGAACAATAGAATTTGAAAAAAAAATAAAAATAATTCAAGATATAATAAGGATAATGCATATTGGAATTAATATTGTAGATTTTTTTTTTAGAAAAAAAAGGCACTTTGATGATTGTCGTAAATTATATGGAGTAGAAAATGTACAAATATAATTGATTAAGTAGAAATGTGATTTTTTTCTTTTAATTAAGTTATTAGACAAAGGTTTCTTTTGAGATGGTTTTCTTACTATTTTCTAAAATAATTTATTAATACAAAAAATTTTTGACCTAAAAACTTTTGTACTAAAAATTTGCTTTATAAAGCTATTATAGATAAAAATAACTTATTAAAGTTGTAGAAGCAACTTTCTCGTGCAAATTTTTTAAAAATAGCAAAATATATAATCAAACAGAAATTATGATTGAGATCTGAAAATCAAAGCAGTAAGAAAGCCTGGTTTGAAGTTGAACAAAATAGATGCATGTAAAATATAGTTAGAATAACGCTGATACTAACAATGGCTATGAAAGACTTCATAGAACTCATAAACATGTATTACCGTATACCCAAAAATCATATTATCATGTCACATTAGGCAATAATTTTAATATAATTTTACAAAACCATTAATAACTTTATTTCGCAATACAAAATTACATAAAATAAAATTATTTACATATAAATGTTTACATCATTACCTCTTCAGAATAGGTGGACAAATATTTGCATATAAATAATAAATGTATAAATTGCATTGTGCTCCTTCGCTCTATGATTTAATTCTAAAATTTTAGAATTTTAAAAATAAAAATATTGGCTTTCATGAGATTTTTTTTTTTTTTGGGAAAAGAAAATTCACCTTACTTTATTGAAGAGAACAAGGCCAAATACATCACGGGAAAAAATCAGGCAAATATGAAAAAAGGAGCCATTGCTTTATTTATTAACGCTTAATAAAAAGGTAGTAAAAAAATTTATTATGCAAAAATATTGGCATATTCACACTCTATCAATTTTCATTAATTCATAAAAAAAAAATTTTTGTGTAGCAGTATTCTCTTTATAAACTTTCATAATAGGATTTATTTGAATCAACTCACTTACAAGTTACAACATTAGAATATATTTTATAAAAGAAATTATTTTATTTTAACTCATTGTAAATATTAAAAAGAAATTATTATTTTTGAGAAACTTTCAAAAAAAAATTGTAAAATTTGGAATTAATATTTGATGTTCATGTGCTCTCTTTCATTATAATTTTAATAAATTTAACAAAATAAAAAATAATTTCTAACTTAAAGTAATTAAATGACCACTTAAATCATAATTCTTTCTAGATTAGTGTGAAGCTTGTAAATTTGCAATCATTGTCATGAAATTAAAAAGTAGGAACCTTTTTGCTCTATACCATAATATTATTTGAATTAGTTATTAGCTCATATTAATTTTTGTACATATTCATCTAATTGACTTTTTTTTTGTCAATTAGATTCAAATATTATCTTTAAAACAGTTTTTTTAGTATCTAAATTTTTAGATCAAAGAAATTTTGTACTGAAAAACTATTTTGTAAAGCAATAAGAAACTATCTTAAATGAAATCTTAGGCATCATTTGGGACGATTTTTTTATTTCTTCTTAAAGTAATTTTAAGAAGCAGTAAGAAAATCGTCTTAAACGAAGCTTTAGACTACAGAGCTTAACAAAACGATCAATAAAATATCAGAAAATTTTATTAAAAACATGATTATGAATGCTACACCCTCTCACTTATCTGCTTGTGTGCTGGATCTTCGTACAATGCTAAGACGTTAAACTAAATATTTCTCTACCGCCGCGAATATTCCAGGACGCAACAGTAAATAAGAGTTGATTAGAGGAATTAATATATTTAGTTGGATGAAAAATAATTGCAAAGTAAAATAAAATATAATATTTTTGAATTTTTGGAGTTGTTTGAATGAGTGTAAATAAATACAAGTACTTATAATTTTTTTTAATTTGAAGTAAAATAGATATAGTGTGAAGACTAACAATAGATGTAAGCAGTGGCTGGTGAGCAAAACAACGGCGGTGGCAACCATCAGCTGTTGCTAGTGGCTGGCAATGGCTATGGCAGACGGAGTGGACAAGTTGCGGGCAGTGGCCAATTAAACTTAAATTAACTTCTCAATGTAAAAAAAAAAAATTATGAGAGAAGTTGAGAGGCTATATTTGTTGGTATTGTTTGGGCGAATTATTACGTCTGGTCACCGGACGTTTAGACACCCAATTTAGACGCGCCACGTCACCCGAATACGTTGGGTCCTGATGTATTTTGGTGACGTGTCGCGTCTGAATTGATGTCCGGACAAATCTGGACACCGGGCGTAATAATTTGCCCATTGTTTGACAATGGATTCCCAACCAGTGAACCAGATTGGGAAGACTTTGATGAGGAGACTTTGACCCTTTTTCAGTTCTTTGCTTCTTTTTAGACTTTAGAGGCCTTTAGGCCGCCAGCCGATCTTTGGTTCCTCTAAGACTTTTCCACAAGATTTTGACGTTACCATCCACATCTTTAGCTCTATTAGAAAAAAAAAATTATATTATTTTCAGCTGTCAGTAAAAATTAATATATTGTAATTTAAAGTTTTATTATGAGCAACAAATTTTGGTTTGATTTGATGCCTACAAATAAAAAAGTTTAAGGAAAAAAAATAATAAATTGATCAATTTTGATTCAAAAGAGGGTGAATCTGACTCGTTTATTAAACATGTCAACAAATCCAACCCATTTATCAAATGAATCAATACAAACCTATATTTTTCATATCATATTCAGGTCGAATTAGCATATCAAAACTTTTTTTTTTTTTTGACGAGCCTATATTGTAGCAAGAGAACTCCATGGTGATATGATGTTGCTTTGGATTAAATATTGAAGGATTTTAGTTTAATATTCCTACATCATATGTGTATGATCTTCCAAAGTCAAGAGTGGGCAGCCTTCACTAACTGGAATGTGATGTCATTGATTAAGGGATTTATTTTCAATCATTTAAAAATTGTTTCTAAAGTTTTATAAATATTTTTCATATATGGTGCCAAACTAAAAAGATTTATGGAGATAGAGAGATAATTTTATGTCATTGCTTTATACAGAAGTCTTACACAAAAATAAAAGAGATGAATACAAGAGATGCTAGAGTAGGGCTAACTCAATTAAAATAATCTACTATATAGCTAAAGCTATATATGTTCGCCGTTCCTCTCCATTAGAGAAGATGAGATTACAAGGTAATGAGCTCTAGCTTGGTCTCATGTAATTTTAGTAAAGCTTGCTAAAAGGGAAGTAAATGGATGATGAAAACAGTGTAACAATATCAGTCTAACTATGATGGTACAATGATACATTCAAGCAACATAAGTCAAACAATAGTTGAGCAATGTTAGTATGATGCTAGTGGACAGACATTAGTGAGTAGGCTATGACAATTGGGCTATAGCAGTCAGACAATGATGATTGAGCTATAATAGTCATACAATGACAGTTAAACGATAGCGGAGTCATACAATGATAGTTCTTTAGATATCCAAAATGTGTCCAAACTCATGTTCAAGTCCTTCACATTTGAAGTATCATGGTTTATTTATAATATTTTGATAGTGACATTTTTGATAAATCTAATGATCATTTTGTAAGACTCCATCGAGCAACCTATATTAAACAATTTAATCATAGATTATTTTTTAACATTTGTGTCTTAAGAACCTCAAAATCTAGTTATCTTGTGTTCATTTTATTCATATAGTCGAGAAGCTGGATTTGACTAAAAAAGTAAGTATCTTTGAAGACTATTTTGGTCCTTCAACTAATATTTTAAAACTTCAAGTGTTTGATTTAGACTCATTTGGACTTGAATCAAATCGCCCTCGAACTACATGCATGAATTTAATTAATTACTAACTCATACCATTTTGAACACTAATAACCTCACGTTTATCACTATAAATCTAAAATCATCTAATTCAGATCACCAATAGCACTAATCTTAAGACATAAGTTCTACATTAATCTATAATTTCAGAGCATTATGGCCTGGCATGAATCTCAAATAAGTGGTTTGATTTTCCACTATCTAAG